CCCCAAAACCCCAAAACCCCAAAACCCCAAAACCCCAAAACCCCATATAACAAATTTCTGATTGGGCTAGAGCGGAAAGGTATTTAAAGAACTTATTTCTCACGTAGGTAATAATATTAAAAATTAATGCTAAGAGTGTTAAGTGATTTTGGAGGCATGCCTATCAGCTCAGGCCCCCTCTCAAATAGAATTGGCAAGGATGGAGAGAGCAAGGAGAGTAAAGGAGTCAGTGTCTTCTTCTGCATGCTCACTTTGATAAGTACCAGGATTGGAGGAGGAATCATTGGCCTCCCTTTTGCTTCCCAGAAGATGGGCTTTATGATGTCATTACTATTACAACTTTTATACATCCCTCTTGGATTTTTCTCGTGCTGGCTGTTGCTTGAGGCAAGGACTATTACAGGAAGAGCCTCTTTCTCAGACCTAGGGATCTACTCTTATGGAAATATCAGTATCTATATCATCAACGCTCTCATTGCTATCGGAAATCTCGGCTTCTCTGTTATCTTCTTCATTGTATTTGGGGATGTCTCTGGAAATCTCATGACCAGATTTGGTGTTGATGAAGATTCATTTTTCACATCTAGGATCTTTACTCAGAGCGCGTTGGGATTCATCCTCTTATACCTATGCATTCAGAAGCACATATCTTCACTAAAATACTCAGGACTATTCACTATGTTCTTGTGCTTTGTGTTTGTAGTGTTGTTCTTCATACATGGGATGGTGTCAAGCCATGAGCCTGGAATCAAGGCAGATATATTGAACACAAAAATTGATGTGACTTTCTTCACTGCGATTTCAACTATCTTCACCTCTTATGGGTTTCAGACTGCTTTCTTTACTGCCTTCCAGTCATTGAAGAACAAGACTAACAGAAATGGAGAGCTTGCTGATATTTGGACCAGAATCTGTATATTCACTATTTTTAATGTCACTGTTATGATAGCATATGGCCTCTATGGTGAGGACATTGAGAAGAACTTGTTAATGAGCATCTCAAATGATTCTGGAGTGCTTCCAGCTGTCCTTGAGGTGATCTTCATCCTAGTCCCAGCTTTGGCCATCCCTGTAATCTTCTATGTTGGGAAAGAAGCAATGCTTATCTTTGTTGATGAACTTACACGTAAGAGTTATTCAAAACAAAATACTAAGAAAACTCCAAAAATTGATATGAAAGTATCACCAGACATTGAAGCACAAAATGAGGGAGAGAAGGGTGCACAATACAGAGTGGACGAGGAGGGTAGAGACCATGCCCCTAAGGTTGAGCAACCCTCCATTGTTCCTGAACAGAGTTCTGTTGATCCTCTTGAGTATCTCAAGATGAAAAATTGGGTTTACTACCTAGTCACTATTCTATGTTACATAATTTGAGTGGTTACATCTATTGCTATTGAGGATGTATCGATTTTCTTCGGATTCATAGGAGCTTCATTGGGAGGATTTGCCCTCTGGCTTGGCCCAGGATCTTTCTATATCATTGGAGTTCACAAGGAGAAGGTCAAGCTCAATACTCCACTGAAAAAACTTGCATATTTCTTTGCATGGGGATATGTATTTATAGGCCTAATTGTATTTTTTGGGCTGAATATATGCAACGTCATAAACTTAATCTAATTTATACATAATAGTACCGGTTCATAATAGTCCTATAAACATGGGGTTTTGGGGTTTTGGGGTTTTGGGGTTTTGGGGTTTTGGGG